GCTCCAAATGCTCAGTTTTCTCAGTGAAAGAAACATCTTCATCAGAAAGTACATCTCGAGAGCAAATGTTGGGGTTGAAGGAGAGAGAAGAAATTTCTGGGTAAATGGAAAAGATCATTGATTTGTTCTTGATTATGTGATTATTTTGTAGCATTAAGTGTCCACTTTGGCCAGTGAATATGAATTAAAGTGAGATTGGCCAGCATGGTTGTACATTTTCTTAAGCCATATTCAGCTGGAGATATAATGAGTAAGTCCATATCAATAATAGCCTTCAGGAATTTGATATTTATTATGCTTAATACTTTATTATTTATATTGGTATTTATATTTAGCTGTAAGGTATTTATTGTTTTTTTTGGTGTCACATTGATGTTATTACCTCGATTTCAAAATGATGAGAGAGAATAACTTTACCAAAGGTTAGACAACCAGTAATTAGTTTGGAAATAAGATTTGAGGTAAGTTTTGAAATATATTTTCTTTTAAAAATGAGATTTGAAATGAGCTTGAAAATAATATTTTTTCTGAACATTTGCTCTTTCACTGTGCTAATTTAAAACATCAATAACATAGTGAGAAAGGAAATAAACCACTAGTTTATTAATCTCAGAATATCAGAGAATTAATTAAATTTGAAAGAGTTTTAAGACAAATCAAAGGATACTCTACTTATTTGTGAAGAATAGATTGACAGAAAGGTTTAAGATACAAATTGGATTTAAAAGAACTTATTTATTATAGATGATAGATATATTTTACCTTCACTTTAAGTCCCTATTTGAATATCACTTCCTGAAGGAGGCCTCCCTTGACCACCATACCTCAAAATAGTGCAGACTTATCATTACCATGTGACTCGTTACTCTCACTTCCACCACAAGTGCTTATTACCACCTGGCATTATACTATGTGTTAATATGTGTATATGTTTACTATAATGCTCATGAGGTCAGAGACTTTGTCTGTTTTGTGTATAATTTTGTAAAGCTGTATCCCAGTTCCTTGGCACATAGGAGTTCTTGATTGATGAAAGCAGAAACGGGGAGAGGGGGAGAAAGTAGGTAGGTGAGTTCTTAGGGTAAAATTAAAGAAATTCAGAGTTTCAATTAGTGATACCATATTGAATATTTATGTTTTTATAATTATAATAGTGTCCCAGGAGACCTGAATAAATGACCAGTGCTTTGCATTCACCCATCATTTTTAATATAATATAGATGGATGGTCACGTGGCTCTAGCCTCTGTTATTATCCCCCACACACCAATTGTCTCCATCCCCTATTGTTAAACAGCAATGATATTGCTAATATTGTGTTAAAACATTTTATACTTAAATTTTGTCAAATACAAGCTTTGTACTAGACGTTTAAATTTAGAACCAGTAATTCCAAGTATTTTAGTATTTTAGGTGTTTTCCTTGGAGATGGTATAAAATCAGCAGTTAACATTCCTTTTTGCACCTTGCAGGGGTGAAGTGGAGATAAAAATTGCTTGAAGTCTTAGGGATCTTGTTTTTGCGAGTGAGGATCAAGGCTGCTATTTAGTTCTTTATTTTCTTGCAAATATAACAATTGAGAAGCACTCCTGTGGGGAAGAGTGTGGCTTCTCTTTTACTGGCTTTGGATTTGTCCTTTTGGAGAGATTCACTATACTAAGTAAAATGCCCTGCTTTGGGAAATAAGATATCAATTCTAATACAGGTGGATGTAAATACTCAGAAGTAGTTTATAGTTGGGGCTGGAAATTTCTTCTTGGAATTCAGGGCTTAGTTTTGAACTATTGAAGATGGTGAAGACATTTTCTTTTCTGCAGTTTGTCGAGAATATGAACATCTATCTGTCATCATGGTTCAGGCTGGGGTGTTTCTCTGGGGTTGGAGAAGTGGCTCCCACATTCTACTCTGTGTCCTTACTCATTAGATTCTCTGTACTGGGCGAAGCATAAAAATGTTCTGCTTCATAATGATTTTTAACCAAAGTGACTTTGATCATTTAGTTGTGAGAGGTGATTGTTTGCTATATAGTGTTTTCTTTGTTTTTGGACAATTCTTATAGAACTTGATTTTATGTAAGACATAACCAATGTCTAATCTGTTGTTAGTTCCATGTCCTTGAAATAATGTTAAGGACAGTTTAGATTGCTGCAGTGATATATTTTTGTAATAGAGTGGGAAGTAGGGGTTAAAAATATCAAAGGAGCTCAAACTCTGATGGAAGTTGATATCTGAAATTGCTTCGTTTCATCCTTACATTCAAAATTACCCCCAAAGCATCTGGCTTCACATTTGTAAAGCGCTTGTAAGGATTTTGGTTAGCTGTCATTCAGGAGAAGAGACACTTAGACCTCATTAACAGACAATATTCCCTTTGAAAATGACATGGTATCTACTGTAATCCTAGAGTGTTTTAATAGTCTATTCTATGCTCAGCAATGAAACATTTCAGAAGTGACTGACAGCCAGTTGATGTAATTCATGGTGATCTTTTGTGTTGACAGATCTTTAAAAAGTCATGGGAAATTACTACTGTACCCAGTGAAACCGCCTTCTTTTTTTTTTTTTTAACTGCCAATATCCTGCAAAACAAGACAATTTTCTCTTTGACTGCTACTGTTTTTTTATTTCAATAACATGACACGATTTCTCCTTATTATTAGGATTTTTTTTTTGATAGAGAGAATGTGTTCCTGATAGGTAATACTGATTTTAAAATAGAAATTATTCAGTTCTCCAAATTAACTCTCTTACTTTTCTGACTTCTGCATCAAGACAACCTTGCCAATAACCACTTTCTCACTCAGGAAGAAGAGTGATTTAATTTAGACAATTTAAAAAAAATTAAATGATTTTAGTCCTCCTCTGAGGGAGAAACATTGAAAGGAAAAGGATGACAGATTGCTTATTTTGGTGTATGTTTTTTTCTAGAACATTCTAAAGCTCAAAGGCTGATGTTTGGGGTAATTTATTTGTATCCAAAACTCAAAGTCTCCAAATTCAAAGTGTAGAATGAGTGGAAAGGGTCCACTGATGAATATGAACTTGTCTGATGAGTTATGGGGAATAATACAGAGATCTAGTCCCAGTGTTGCCCTGACTTTTCACCTTTGTTGGAACTGCGTCTCTGGGTCTTTGCTCTTCGTCATCATGTTAAAAAGTAGCTGTTTTTCTCAGATCCTTAGGGGAGTAGAAGGTATCTTTCCCTTAGTCCAATCTATTACTAAAGCAATGTCATTATGAGTTGACATCTATTTTTTTTTTTTTTTATCCTCACCCGAGGATATTTTTCCATTTTTTGTACAGATAGAGTGGGAGGGAGAGAGAGGAAGGGAGAGAGAGAGAAACATCGATGTGAAGGGACACATCGAGTGGCTGCCACCCACACGACCAACCAGGGCCGGGGACAAACTGCAACCGAAGTACGTGCCCTTAGCGGGAACCGAACCCGGGTCTCTCCAGACCGCAGGCCGACGCTCTAACCGCTGAGCCAAACTGGCCAGGGCTGACATCTATTTTTTTGAGAAAGAAGCATGTGTTGAGGAAGTAAGAATGTACTTTCTGATTATAGTCCTGTTAATATTTTTGATTAATATGTCACAGAAATATCATTTGACTGTAAAAAGGTGTAATACCTCTCTTCCTCTTTAGTTCCAATTTCCCCTTTGTATCATCTACAGCCCCCTGCTCACTATCTCATTAGACTAAAAGAAGGACCTAAGTTCATCCATTGCATGATACACCAATACTCCCCCTGCCTTCCACAACCCTACCACCAGAAAATAGTCTTATGAAAATAACATGTTAAAGATGTAGAAGAGACCAAAAAAAAAAAAAAAAAAAGATTCCATTCTAATTTCTTTTAGACTCTAGGGAACATGAATAGTTTTCTTGGTTGAAATAAGTAGTAGGTACTACTCCTTTTTATTTATTTATTTTTATTTTTTCATGAAGTAGATTCAAAGCACGGAGGGTTCTAGTGGCTGGAAGACCAGAATCTCCTTCAGCCTGCTGCACTTACCACGTGGCACGCGGGCTGCCAGCTGGGCTCTGCTGCAAGGCACTGTCAGGAGTCATTTAGGAGTTCGTAACTGCATTTGAGTCCTACTTTCATTTATTTATGTGATCTAGAGAAAGTCATTTTATTTTTGTATTTGTTATAGTAAAATGGAAGTTATAATTATTCCCTCTTAATTTACTTCTTCGGTTTGCTGGGAAGACAATGTAAGAAAATGAACTGTGAAGTCTTTACAAACTTTCATTCTACATAGATAATAATAGTTATTCTTCCTCATTCTCCTATCAAAGTAATTACTTTTATCTTATTAGTACTGTCTTACTTAAGGATCTTTTCTGTAAAAAAAGAGCATAGTATTAACTAAAGAATATTGAATTTTCACAATAACTCTGTAAGTTAGTAGTTAGTAACAGTTACAGGTGAAGAAACAGGCTTAGAGAAGTTAAGAAATGTTCTCAAGATCAATCATTTATGAACTGTGATTCCCCTGGTTTCTGATTTCAGTGCATGTGTTTTTTCTTCCATAGACTAATGTAGTTTAATGTCCTGCAATAGTCCAACGTCTTTCAATTTATCATGCTTAATTTGGAAAGTTTTTCTTGCCATTTCAGTTATTTTTGTTCTTTTAGTGGGAGTTTATTTATTTAATTTATTTGGCAGTTATTTAGGGCTAGGCATTATGCTAAACACTATTAGTTGTTTTTTTGTTTATTTTCTTAGTCTAGTCTTTTTTAAATAGAAGTAAACGTGTTTAAAAAAGAGTGACAAGAGCTTTTTTATATAGTAGGGGAAATACAAGATGCTCTGAGTAGTCAGAGAAGGCGTCATAGATGAAGTACTAGCCATGCTTTAAAATGCCCTTTGTAGAATACAGGTGCCTTCTGCCATCATGTCTTTTGTTTTTCTTGTAACCTCAGATTCATATTGAGCCATTCATCCTGGGGTGAATAGTCAAATGATTCTTACATGGGCTTGTTATTTTCCAGCTTGTCCAGATTATTATCAATACGACACACTTGGAGAAATCCTGCAAGTACTTGGAAGAATTCATCACCAACATCACTAATGTGCTTCCAGAGACAGTCCATACCAGCAAGCTCTATGGCACCACAACTTTTAAGGTGAGAAGGCCCCAAAGTACTATAGAGCTGCTTTGGTATGCTTAGTCTGCAGTGGCCTACCCAACATGGCTTTGTTTCTAACAGGTTGCATAGGAGTATGATTCATGACATGCTCCTGAGAATAGGTGCTTATGAATTCCTTAAAAAAAAAATTTTTTGATGTTAACTTTGGGGTGTTTGTACTAAAAAAAGTCAACAACTCTGTCCACTAAATCTTCCTTATTTTTTCCACATGAAAATGACTGTTTCCTCACTTGGCCCCCATCACAGTCAAGAGTTCTTAAATATTATCCAGATAATAGTGGTTATAGTTGAAATCAACATCAATTAAAATTTTCAAATTAGCTGCTCTATTTTTTCTGTATCCTATCTTCAGTTTTTTTTTGTTTTGTTTTGTTTTGTTTTTAACCATACTTTTAAGTGAGGAATTTCTGTCCCTTGCTATTACAGTTAGCAATTTTATAGTTATTACACAAGGCCATAGCACTGGTTTTGAATCAGGGTTAATCAAATGAGGAAAATGACACCTTTGAAGAGCAAAAGAAGGATTGATAGTAGATCAGTTTCTGGAGGATAAATGGCTTAATTTCAAAGAGCCTTAAGAAATTAATTTATATTGCCATGTAAGCTTTTTATAAGTATTAAGCGAAAAAGTAATAGGTCAACAGCTTAAACAATTAAATTGTCAATGCTGACATAAAGGCCAACATGTATGCTTTTGGTTATTGTTATTGTAGTTATTTCTTGGTTAGTTTAGTTTTTAAACAAATCTATATTATTGTTTTGAAATCCAGAAGTTGATGTTTATTAAATATAAAGTTGTAGAGTTGAAATCATGATTTTATGTCCACTAGTGTCTACTTTTTTTTATCCTTTTATCCCTTTTCCCTATTTATTGGTACCTTGCCTTGAGAGTAGATTTCTTACATCAAATTTGATTCATATTGTTTATTACATTTTATGACAGATAAAAATTGTTAGAATGATCTTCTCTTTTTGTTATAAGAAAATAATGAGAAAGACCCTGAATTGTTAAAGCAATCTTGAGAAAGAATAAGGCAAGGGGCATCATGCTTCCTGATTTCAAATTATATTACAGAACTATAGTAATCAAAACAGTATGGCATTGGCATAAAAATAGACACATCGGTCAATGGGACAAAATAGAGAACTCAGAAATAAACCCACACATATAAGATCAATTAATTTATAACAAAGGTGCCAAAACTATACAGTGGGAGAAAGGGTAGTCTCTTCAATAAATGCTGTTGGCAAAATGGGACAGTCACATGCAAAAGAATGAAACTGGACCTCTGTCTTATACCATACACAAAAATCAGCTCAAAATGAATGAGACTTGAATGTAAGACTGAAACTATGAAACTCCAAGAAGAAAATGTAGGTGATAAACTCCTTGACACTGGCTTTAGCAGTAATTTTTGCATTTGACACCAAAAGCAAAAGCAAAAACAAACAAGTGGGACTTCATTGATCTAAAAAGCTTCTGCACAGTAAAGGAAACCATCAATAATATGAAAAAGCAAGTAATGGAGAGGAGAGAATATTTGCAAATCATATATCTGTTAAAGGGTTAATATTCAAAATATATAAAGAACTCCTACAGCTCAATAGCAAAAAATTCAAACAACCTGATTAAAAAATGGGCAAAGGAATTGAATAGACATTTTTCTAAAGATGACCTAGAAATGGAAAACAGGTAAATGAAAAAGATACTCAACATAACTAATCATCAAGGAAATGTGAGTGAAAACCACAATGATATATCACCTCACCCCTGTTAGAATGGCTATCATCAAAAAGGAAGAGATAACAGCCTGGCCAGTGTGGTTGAGTGGATTGAGCATGGACTGAGAGGTCCAGGTTCAATTCCCAGTTAGGGCACATGCCTGGGTTGCGGGCTTAATCCCCAGAAGGCAGCCAATCGATGTTGATATCTCTCTCTCATCGATGTTTCTATCTCTCGCTACAAAAAAAAAAAAAAAAAAGGTCGATAAAAACATATATAAAAGAGATAACAAATGCTAACGAGCATGTGGAGAAAACTCTTGCACACTGTTGGTGGGAATGTTAACTGGTACAGCTACTATGGAAAACAGTATGGAAATTCCTTAAGAAATTAGAGCTATCATATGGTCCCACAATTTTACTTCTGGGTGTATATTCAAAGGAATCAAAAACATTATCTTGGAGAGATATCTGTATGTCCATGTTCATTGCAGTATTATGTACAATAGCCAAGATATGGAAACAACCTAAGTGTCCATTAATAGATGAATGGATAGAGGAAATGTGATGTATGTATACAAAGGAATATTACATAGCCAAGAAAAATACAGAAAACCAGCCATTGTGACAACATAGACAAACGTTGAGGGCATTATACTAAGTAAAATAAGCCAGGCAGAGAATGACATATACTGCTCGGTATTACTTATATGTGGAATCTTTTTTTAAAAAGTCAGACTCATAGACAAAGAGAGTAGAAAAGTTGCCAGGTACTGGGGGTGAGAGGGTGTGAGAGGGAAGGAGAAGTTGGTAAAAAAAAAAAAAAAGGCACAAACTTTTACCTATAAGATGAATGAGGTCTGAGGAACTCATTTAATATGTGGTAAATATTGTATAAATGAAATTTGATAAGATTTTGAAACATTATGTGAGATGATGAATGTATTAAATAACTAGATGGGGAATTCTTTCACAATATATGCATGTATCAAATCACTACAATTTATATTTTAAAGAACTTACCATTTTATTTTCAATAGTACCTCAATGAAGCTGAAAAAAAAATTAGATGGTCAACCACAAAACATTCTTTAGGTCAGCTACTAGATGAGTTGCACATTCTAGGTGTGACCATTGGTTGCAAATTACCCATAAAATGACTTAAAACAAAGTTTATTGTTCATCATATTATGGGTGTATCATTACTTACAAACTTTTCAATAATTTTATTATATTAATATTGATACTCTTTTAGTGAGGAAAGGACTTATTTAATAAAGAGGTCCCAAAAATGAGTATGAACATGTGACAAGAGCTTTATGAACTTCAGAATAAATGACCTTAGGCAGTTTAATGAGAATTATAATTACTCTTAAATATTAGCATTATTATGGAGCATGCGTAATAATTGTATCAAAAATATTTTCACTTGATTTACTGTGGAAGCCAGAATTTCTCTAGGAAAGAAAGTGTGGGACGGACTATAGTTAAGTGTTCAGCAGAGAATAAGGAGTTAGCGAGGTAGAACCTGAGGGTCATTTGTATTTGTGTATCATGTAGGAATATATAATATGTTCCGCTGCTCTTCCCCTGACCTATCTCAATTTTCTCATTTTAAACACTTTTGAGATTTTGGTCTGATGTCCTCCCAGAGGATGGCTTGTGTATTTTGATGTTGCTTTACCATTAGCATTGCTGAGGGGGAATTAAAGACAGACGGGGAGCCACAGGGGTTGAGTAGCCAGTTAAATACTTAGGCAAGGAGGGGTTCTGGAGACAACTAAAGGTCATGTCGACAGTGCTTATTGGAAATACTGGTTGCATAAAACACATTGAAAGTTTATTTTTACCAGGACTGTTTCAGACCAGCTAACTCAGAACTCGGTGTAAACATGGCAGTTATAACAGCTACACGTTGTGTATTTTCCTAAGCTACCATTTCCAGAAAACGTTCCCTTGCAGATGGAAATCTCTATGCTGGAAAGGGGGCAAAAGGAGTCAGGTCTTCAAGGTTTTTTCTTGCAGAATTCTCTTCTGATGCCAGATGTGTCATAATTAAGCTGGCATTCCTTGCTTTCCTTGTTCATAACAATATCTTCACTGCCTTTCAAAACAGAATGAAGGTATTTATTTACTCCATCACAAATATTATTTGTGTACTTGTTAAGCAACAATCTGGTAGATTCTCAGATAGAGACAAAAAAATTCGTAGTCCCTAGACTTAGAGTTTATAATCTACATGGGAGGAGACAGAGAGGGTAAGTTCTATAAAGAACTATGTGAGCTGAGCCTGGCCTGTGTGGCTCAGTAGTTGAGTGTCAACTCATGCACCAAGAGGTCGCCAGTTTGATTCCTGGTCAGGGCACATGCCCAGGTTGTGGGTCAAATCCCCAGTGGGTGGCATGCAGGAGGCAGCCAGTCGATGTTCTCTCTCATTGATGTTTCAATCTCTTTCTCTCTCTCTCCCCCCCCCTTTCTAAAAATAAAAAAATCAATAAAGAAAATATTTTAAAAAAAGAACTATGTGAGATGTACTAGAATAATACAATGTATACAAATCCCTCATTGATTCTACTAGTTTCTAGAAAGCATCTACTACATACCAGACAATTTATAGGTGTGAACTAAATCAACAAATTTCCTGACCTTACAGAGCTTATATTTCTAGTTTAGAAATGGAGATGATAGTTGATAAGCATATAAACAAAAAATATAATTTAATGTCAGGGAGTGGTAAGAACTAGGAAGAAAAATAAATGACCTGAATGAAATGAGAAAGGAATTATTTGGATTTTTGATAGCATTTTGGTCAGAAAGAACAGTGCAATAGTAGGTATTGGTGTGTTCAAGGAATAGCAAAGGAGTCAGTCTGGCAGTGGTGTGTGTCTGTCATTGGTGGTAGGAATGGTAGAAGATACGATAGGAGTCAGATCATTTCTAGCCTTGAAGGTCACAGTAAATACTTTGGATTTTATCCTGAACTGAAATTTGAGGCCAGTAGATGGGAGTGGTGGTGATAAGCTGATTTACATATCAGTGGGTAACACTGGTTACTGTGTGGAAAACAAATACATTATAGGTTAGTAGGAATGGAAGAAGAGAGTCCAATTTGGAGGTTATTGCAGAAGTCTCGGTAAGAGAGAATGGTTGCTTGAATTACAATGGTAGGAGTGGAAGTGGTAAGAAATACTTTAAAGGAAGAGATGGCAAGTTTTATTGCTGGACTGGGTATGGGGTTACAAGAGAAAGAGTCC